CAGAGATTAATGTCGTTTAATTTATGATCAAGAGTGGTTATTAGTCAGAGTGGTATGAATTAATCGAGTCAATTGAACCTCTGCAAAAGGTTTGTCCTTTGAGCCATTCCTGCTGAAGAACGATGACAATTCGAAACGAGCCATATACGTCAATAACAACTGGGCGCTTACAACAGCTGCTGGCAGAAGAAGTGTCATTGAAACTGGAGCAAGAAACTAAATTTTGAAAGGTTGCTTTAAAATGATCCAGAAATAATAACTGTAAAACGAAACATCAAAAGGAAGTTGAAAGGAAATGTGAGAATTAACGAAACAACGATAGAATTGAATCACTTACATCAGTGCCAAGGAAGTCAAATTCACGAGCACATGTATAGAGACGCGTATGGAAATTAGCAAAATCGCTGAATTTTGATCGTAAAATATCGAAGATGTGTGCCTTAAATCAATTAACCTTTCAGCAGTTATCATAAAAATGAATAGCTAAAATGACGGATCAGAGAAACAGATTGGACTGCACACATGATGAATGAATTAGAGTGACAACGAATCTGACAATAAACAAATCACATCATCAGTAATACGAAGTAACGAGCCGATGGCGAGCTTAATGCCAAGTGTACCGATGATAAATAGTACACTATTGATCAACAAATACAGCGGACGAAAACGAATACGATTCAATGCGCTATCCAGCATGATGATCCCCTAGAAATTCCAGTTATTAAGGATTTTGTGCCTCAAAAGAACTCTTCTCCATCACTTCTCTTCTTAATTTATTAACCGAAACTGTGTCATTTCTGTCTTCAATTACAGAAATTACAGAAAAAAAAACACGAAAATTGCACATTAAAAAAGGCAATCGTTCATTTCAGCACAATTTTTTAAAAAGCTTCGGATNTTCACAAAATACGATCGTTTAAGAGATTACTGATATTAATCAATCAAAGAAAGCAAATAAAACTCACCATGAATGTGAGTACACTAGATAAGAATAGTGATGTCAGTAGCATTTCATTTCCAAACAACAATACAAATGCCACCACAAACCCTATCTAAAAATGAGGCAAAACTGACGACTAGAAAGATCATTTGCTTTCGAACTAGAATTATCCGACAGTTTTGAGCATTTCAAAGAAAAACAATTACTCACACAAGCGTTATGAAGTCAATACTCCAGAGATCAGCATCAAAAAATAGAGAGAATTCATATTTTTGTTCACCCATTCAACTGTGATTCAATTTACTTTCGTGAACATCGACATTATTTCAGCAGAATATCAATGCGATAAAAATAAGTAAATGAGAACAACTTACTGAAGAAGACAGTTGAAAAATCTAAGAGATATAATGAAAAGAAATAAGGGAAATTCACGAAGATGACTGCAAAAGCAAAAGAAAAAGAACATACAATATGTCCATAAACGATCGTTCTAATTGTTCGAGTTGGTATGAAATCAAGGATGAACGTTGCAAATAATGAGCCAACTTGCGTGGATAACGCAAATGCAGCGAACTGAAATTTTCAAACGACTGAATTCAACACTACGATCATATTGAATGCCACTGAAACACTTTTAGATCTTATCATGTCAGACAGCGTTAATAATATTAAACATTAACACCGAAAATAATAATAATGTTACCAACAGTAGCAGTAAAATAATGTTAGCAATGACAATAATAAATAAATAATAATAATAATCATAATAATAATTAATAGCANTAATCCCATCACTGCATCCAAGAACTTCACAAATCTAATTGATTGTTATCATATCAATCATGCGACATTACTCGTCCACTAACGAGAAACAAGTGCTGAATCTATTTTTATAAAGTTGAAAGACAAATATACAAATTCAATAAAAGTGAGAATGAATTTACTTGAGAACATATGTGACAACAAGGATCTGTAGGATGAATACTGGATACCCGAATGATTCACGCAACGGCGGTGTCCACTGAACACGAGTTGCTTCGCCATGATTGAAGAAGAAACAACACACGGCTAGCAATCCACCGAGAACTGAATCACTAAAAGTTTGGAATTGATAATCGCACATGAGCATTTTCATTCACTACGGAGCAATTGGACATAAACAGTGAAGCAGTTGAACATTCGTCGACTCGACGCTCATTTCGCAACGACGGTGTTGCTTTCCTACCACGCAGAAATGATTTTAACGATAAAATTACCCAACACAGATTGAAATGAAGAAGATAGTTGGAATAACAGTTCCAAATAAGGCGAACACATTCCAAACATAAAAATAGTGCTGATTACCAATACCTAAATAAGGTGAATTTTAAATATTCACATAACATCTATAAAGTACGTTTGATCAATACTANCTAAGTGACTGAGATATTCATGAAAGTAACCTTCACAACTGTTCACGGGCGGTAATGAATCGCCTCTATTCACTTGCCAACAAGTTTCAACATTCCATTTCATATGTCTTACTACTTTCATAAATACTCGATACGCTGCTCCCAAAATCACCTTCAAGTAGCCCAACGAATTACGACAACATTATCTACTCTACAGCATCAGTTGTGATCGCGATTCAAGTCGAAACAAAGAATAATGCTTGTTCTTTAATGCTTATTTGGACATTGATATGCCACATCGGAGCCTTCGAAATGATGCCGAGATTGACTGTTAATTTTTTTAGTCAGAATTCAACTGATTTCGTGATATGGCTATTCGTACTGCGGTCAAATGTTGACTTATACACCCCAGAAGGGGAATATACAAACAAATCCATTATGGATTCACGAACCTCCGGATATAAATTGAATCTTTTCAAACAGTTAATTGTATGTCCATATTCGGTAACGTTATCATGCGTTATCTCATACAATCCCTCACTGAAACTTGGTGCTGTGATGATAGTTTTGTAATATGAGTAGTACAAACCCTGAAAAGTTTCACTTTACTAATGACTTCGCTGAATTTCCATAACATGAATACATCAATCTCTCATGTAAGCTTGACTTAATGCATCAAATGAATATCGATTTTTGATTGCGAANNNNAGCTAAAGGAATCTCTACGTAGGCTAATGAAAGTTGGACGAAATCATAAAAACGACTTCGAATTAATGGAATTGTTTTCAAATTAATTAATTTAAATCGTTCGTTCGTTGTCTTGATTTGCTTAAAAATATTTTCATTCATCAACATTAAATAATTTTGAACAGTTACGGTGATAGTCTTCTAACAATAAGAGACGACAAGTGAATATTTGAGAACGATTTTGTTTCGCTTTTCTTTGTCCGTGGAAAGCTGTTCATATATCACTTAAATTCAATGAAATACTGCCATTCCCAATCATGATTTGAAAGTTTCACTTGCGAATAACTCAATAAAACTTCGTTAGAACAAAATTTTAGAATCTCATCATACTACAACCCTCAACTGAACCAATTACAGCGGCACGATTTTGCGGCTCACAACCTCTCTATCTGTACTACTTCCAGCCATTCTCCATGCGCATTCAACACAACCATTTGTTCCAAACAAACTCACTTCATACCTCTCTTCATTTCAACAATACAAAAACTTCAGCCTTTGGAACTTGATAAATTAGCGAGAATAAATCAATGAAAAACAGGAATCGCTAATAAACAAATGCAACCCTTCTTATGAACGTTTCTTTTGCATAATGCAAGAGTACTTTTGCATTTAACTTGTTGGGCGACTTTCTTTTCTTATTGTCGTTCTGAAGGCTTTATGCAGTGCACCCCCCAGCAAGCAGCATTCATAGAACCAATCAAACTACGTTACGACCAAACAGGGAACAATTTAGGTGGAGGCAGAAAGAGAATGTGATGAGCATGAGTGATACATACCACTCGTCGGCAGAACGCCGCCATCATCGAGACGAGAAACGACGACAACGCACAATGCTCATTTTTTTCGTGTAACCTTGTTGCTTTGTTTGAAAGACTAAAAATACTCTTGAAAAAAGTTCGAACGAATTGATGCAATACTATTTTTGCGATGGAATTAGAAGAAACTTGTTGTATTCTTCACAACAACATTCACGTTCACGAATAACGAACGCTAATTTTGCTTTGACGAAAACAACCGTGATGGAGAGACAAACGGGCAGCTCAGGTGCTGTGATCACGGTTTTTTGAACCTTCAATCGACGAATTAAACCATCTTGAACGCTCATTATTAAAGTCAAGTCAAATACTGCAATTCTTTTCGTGAGCTACTGTAATCTTTATCCCATTCCATCCGCCTATTAATAATCGTTATCATTAATGATGTGTACTCTATTTGTTGATATTCATTACAACAACATTAAAATGTTGATTTATTTTAGGTGTTCCATGCCAAAACACACAGTCATTAGAATCCTTCACCTCACTGAAATCAGATGCTCGAATTAATAATAAAATTCAGTAGTATTTTATTGGCACAATTCCTCTAACTTCCATGCAATTAATGAATGCATGCTGTCTAAATAAACCTGCGTTGAATGAGTTTTATTATGCACTCGTACAACGACTCATTCATATTTCAATCAGTCGAAACGCCATTTTTGTTATCATTCTTAATGCATCAATCAAATTCCGGTAACACTCGATTATACACACTAACGCTAATTAAAATGAGCTGTTACAATTAATTAACATGGTGTTCTTACTGCTACAGTAGCCAGTAGTATGACTGCAATTGCTTTCAGTATTATTGTCATCAGTATCGCTATTGCTATTGTCAATATTATAGACTGACTGAAATCCCTCTCTCATTAATTACACTGATAATAAATTCGAGACACGAACATGATTTTATTTGTGTGTTCACGGGACGGATGATGAACTGGATATAAGAGTGATGGAGAATTTAGAGGGATATATAGCATCCATCATACCAGATGGACTGATTTATAGCATACGACTTGATTTGATTGCATGATTTAATTTTATGATGATCAGTCAGTATATGATAATCAAGATTCATTCGCTGAATATATAAACGTGCAGATGTTTGCGCTCTTGCAAAAAAATATAATCAAAATAACAAATCACATAGAATTCTTTAGAGTAATTTTTTGTGAAAATAAAACGAAAAACTCGATTTCTGAAGTTGTTTACAGCAATGACATAGCACTTCCATATTACATATACATGTAAATGAATAGCCAGAACACGCTAATTATATCAACTGTCACTAATTTTCCATGTTGTAGAGCCATACTAAACACATCATAATAATGATACTGCCAATGGTAACAACCACAATTCATCCATACATTTTAATAACCCATTTTAAATACGAGCCGAAAGCCGGTCCTCATAACCTCACGAAGACGACGTTATTTAACCATCATCCCCATCAATTGTCACTCATCTTTCGAAGTGACTTTTGTCATTCATATATCCATCCATCCACTCGTCCAAATACCATCGTTATTATTATTGTTATTATTACTATTATTATTACCATAACCCACTCTATCGTTTAATTCATTCATAAAAATCAACAACTATTCAATACTGCCCACTAGATCGATCGCCACACAGGCAATGCGATCACATTCGTATACGTATCTCACTATCCCGCTAATATTTCTAAATGAATAGCTATAAGGATTAATATTTAATTTTAGTTATTTCAGCTCCTTCCTCATTCTCAATGATTAAAAATGCACAAATTTTGTCGGTGATTTCCTTAAACTTTGATAATTACAATGATCGTTGAGTTCGGTTAATGTGTATAATACTAATTATATCCATTAATGACAATTCCATTGCAGTTATTATAAATCACGGTCAGATCGCTCTTGAATTGATAACATTTTTACCACTCAAATGGTAGTCAAGTAGCATGCTTATCGATCGTTCAAACCTCAATCAGATATACCAAATACATTTAGCTCATCAAATCGCTCAAGTTTTTTGATCTTATCTGCTATTCGAAATGAGAGGGCTACTGACAAACTGCCTAATATATATATATATATATATATATATATATATATATATATATATATATA